AATTCTCCTGTTCTTAGATTTAAACTGACAGAACAATTCAGCCTACCATCACCATCCTCAAGTGTAAAAAACAGGGATAATATTACCTACCTTGCAGGGTTATTGTGAGGATCATATAAGACAGTGTTTACAAAAGCACTTAGGACAGTGCCTGGCACGTAGTGGCCATTATATAAATGCTGGTTCCCTTCCCTTCCCAATGAAAGTCTAAGAAGAACATGAAGGCAAGAGTACTTGGCTCCATACATATGTTGTCCTTGCCAGAGTAGGAGGAAAACTGTTGCTCTGGCTTTTCATGGTAGTTACAGTAAAGAAAAAAAAAAAAAGCAATTTCTCTGAGAAATTAAATATATATAACTGCTTAGCTTTTATGTTTGTTTGTTAGTTTTCACTATGAGAGAGATCTTAAAACCTGACTGAACTCAAATGCTAATTCTAAGAATGTTGGAACACAAACTAAGTTTCTCAGAGTATTAATAAATTCCAAATCTGAATCACCCGTTCAAATTGAAAGATTTCCCCAGGTATCCAGTGCCACATAACTCTGAATGACTTTCTGATAGAACCCTAGAATAAGATGAAAAAGCTTTTTATCCCAGATAGATTGGGCTTTTGATATCCAAATAATGAGATTAGTCCACTTATCTCAATCCTGTTAACCAGGTGAGGGTGAACCCTCTAAAAGTCTATGTTGGAAGAAGCAGAAATGCTGCTCTTGTTATCTCCTTCCAGGGGCTCTTAGTTTCCATGAGTATACATTTTCATTCCTTTCAAATGCATTATACATAATTATGCAAAGAATTTAATGGAAAAGGATGTAAGGATGGTAAAATGTCTGCATGTCCAACATGTCCAAATGGAACCAACCAGATTCATTCCAAAACCTAACTTTCCCATTTTTATCAATGGCACCACCATTCATTCAGTCAGCCAGCCTGGAAAACTAGAAATCATCTTTTCTGTGCAGCTAGGTGGCATGGTGGGTAAAATGCTGGAATCAGAGTCAAAAGACCTGAGTTAGAATTCCTCCTCAGACACTGTATGACCTTGGGAAGTTATTAACCTCAATAAGCCAGTTTCTTTATCTATAAAATAAGGTTAATAATAGTGTCTACTTCTCAGGATTGTTGTTAGCATCAAATGAGATTATATAAAACAACATACACACACATACATACACATTTATACATACATATATACACATATATACATACACATATATATAATACATATATACAGTGCTTCGTAACTTTAAAGCATTATATACTAACTGTTATTATTGTTATTGTTACTATCTTCACTCAGTATGACTCATTTTGTTGCCAAGTTCTGTTCATTCTTCCTCTGCAATAATTTCTGAATTTTCCCTCTTTTCTACTCCCCCTAATACCACTTTAGTTTAGGCCCTCATTCCTTCTTGCCCTGGTTAGTACAACATCCTCCTAGCCTCCCTGACTTCAGCCACACCCCTCTCTAATCCATCCTTTACGCTATGCCACAGTAATATACCCAATGCACAAATCTGACTGAGACCCAATTATGTTGACAGACATACACAAACCACAAACACTTAATGGCTCCCCAGTGCTTACCACATAAAATGTAAACTCATTAATTCACCTGCCATTAAATGCCTTCTACCATCCAGAATTAAATTACCTTTCCAGACTTACCTCATAATGATTCTTTCAAATATTCCACTTACCAACGTAAAAGGCCATTTGCCGCCCCCCAGTCCCTCCCTGACCACCTTCTGGGCTTTTGTGAACACTGTCCCTCATGCCTACAAGGGCCCTCTTTCCACCCCTGACTGTTGAAATCCTTATCTTGCCCTTAAGGCTCAGCTCAAGTGTCCTCTCTGAATCTCCCTCTGATCCCTCCAGCTGTATGTGACCTTGCCCTTTCTGAATCTCTCATACTTTGGTCCTCTCCCATATACTTATCATAGTGTATTTTATATATGAATGTGTATGCAGTTGCAAGTTTGGAACTTCAGCCTGTTCATCTTTGAATATCTATTTCGTGCCCAACAAATGTCATTTAAGAGACAGTTGATAGATGATTTTTGAATTGAATTATTCATTTGACTTGGTACTCGAGAATGCAGAATGGTGAATGCCCTTTCAGGATATATAGTGATATAGACTGAAACTGTGATTTCATTGGTACCAATGAAGTATTTCCTCTACCAAAGTAGGTCAGCATCCTTTCTACTACTTTACAATCTTAGAGAGAGATTTTTCCAGTACGTATCAAATACAGTACTCAAACTCAGGTTCTGAGACCAATTCTCTGTCCACTATGCTACACTGCCTCTTATTTCAAATTTATTATTTGTTGTTTTTAAAAAATTATCATTCTCCCTAAGTCATCAAATCTACTGAATCCAAAGAATAAGCCACAAGGGATTGTCTTCAGATACAGTAAGGGCTTTTGTTGTTGTTGAGTTTTTCAATCATGTCCAACACTTTGTGATCCCATTTGGGGTTTTCTTGGCAAAGATACTGGAGGGGTTTGCGTTTCTTTCTCCAAATCATTTTACAGATAAAGAAATAGAGGCAAACAGAGTTAAGTGACTTGCTCAGGGGTCACACAACTAGTAAGTGTCTGAGGCCAGATCTGAACTAAGGAGGATGAATCTGCGTGACTCCAGGACCAACACCAGACTATGGCACTACCTAGCTGCCCACATAGTAAGTTTATTTGCATCATCATCATCTGTGGAACCTGGAAGGGACATGTGCCCTGGACCTGTTATATCAAGCTATCATTCAATTGTTTGTGGTATATGGTACAAGCACACACATGTATGTAAGCATGAGCACTGGAGATTTTATACTCTTTGGGTCCCCCAGCATCTAAGTGTCTGGCATATAGTACGTGCTTAATAAATGCTTGTTGATTAATCTATCATCCTAAAGCTGACCCTACTCATACTCAACAGAGACTATAGTTATTATCTTCACTATGCACATTTGGCCTTTTTAATATTATATGACATAAATATACTGATTTAAAATTTACAAATTAATTTAATTATTTCATTACAGTATCATAAGTCTTACAGAGTAATTCACATTTGCAGATGAGGAAACTGAGGTCCAGAGAGGCCAAGTGACTTTCCATGGTCACACAGATAGTTAAGTATCAGAGGTCAAATTTGAATTCAAGTCTTCTGACTCCAAGTCCAGCAAGCAATGGTTATATATTTGAACTGGAACAAAGGCTGAACAAGAACTACTATGCTTAGGCAAGAATTTTTTTTTAATTACTTATGGTTTGAAGAACTGAGCTCTTACTTAAAATACAGTGAGGTTCAGTAGAAAGAGTACTAAAGTCAGAAGACCTGAGTTTGAGCCTCAGCTCTGCTACTTACTGGCAACGTGTGGGACCTTGGGCAAGTCATATCACATCATATCACTTTTAGCCTAGTCTCCTTCATGTCTAAAATAGAGATAATATGGCTTACCCTGTCTACTGTTATGAAAACCAAACAGTACTCATGAAGGCACTTTATAAATTAGAAATTGCTTTCTCTCCTGAAGGCCAAAAGGATATTATCTTACAGATACAAATGATAGAAAGAAATGACTAGAAACAATCACAAAATCATCAACTAATCAAAAATAAGTAGTAATAATAATAATAATAGCAACAAAATGACTCAGAACAGGGTTGCTGAATGGGAAGAAGGTAATAGAAAATGACCTCTAAGTTTCTTTCCAGAGCTAAGATTCTATGATTCCATAACAATTCTTTACACATTGCTCTTACTGAGAAGTAAGCAGGGCAGGTATCATTCTATCTTTTTTAACAAAGGAGGAAACTGAGGCACAAAGAGATTATATGAGGATGATTTATTCAAGGTCCCACAGGTAGAAAGTAGCAGAGTCCAAATGAGAGATTAGGTCTTCTGACTTCTAGATCAGGGCTCTCCCATTTTATTAACTCACAAATGTGTGCTAACCCACTGTGCTTAGGTATAAGACATGACATTTGAAACCAAAATCATAGGATCATAGATTTGGAGCTGGGAGGGGCTTTAGATGTCATCTAGTCCAACCCTTTGATTTTTACAGATGGGTAAACTGAAGCCTAGAGGAGTGAAGTGGTTTGCCCAAGGTTACAAAGGGAGTAAGTGGAGGAGCTGGAGTCAAACTATATTGGACAACAGAGTGACATTTGCACCAAGGTCCTACTGAAAAATCTTCATATTATTTACATCAATTATCCTTGTAAGTTTTCCCTAAATCCTTTAGGTTGGTGGATTTTATTTTTATTTTTGCTATTTTTTAAAAATAGCTAAGCTGTACACATACCACCCAGAATCACTACCATTGAACAGTGAGAGAGTGCAGACTATGATATAATTTTCAGGACCCTATTTAAACTACTTTAAATGAAACATGGGCTGTATGCAGATAGTACACAGTACAAGAGAAAGCAACCTATGGCTGTCTTCCTATGCTTTCCACTTGAGGGGAGCAGGATGTTATTTAATCACCTTGGGCCAAAGAAGTAATTACACTGGAGACAGATAAGAGCGTTTGGGCTGTCGGAATAAAGAAAATGTAAATACCTTCTTATACTGCACCACTGCAAAGATCAGAGAGAGAACAAACAACCGAAGCCTGGAAAACAAAACCCAGAAAGCAAAAGGCAGCCCGGTGCAGCCTGCAGCACTGAGCCAAAAATCTCTTTCTCTTTAGTACTGAAGGAAGCAAAACTCACCGCAAATTCAACTTCTAAGACCACAGGCTACAAGAGCCAATCCCAGCTGCTCTAAAGTGTTAGTTTCAGGCCTGTAATTACGGTTGTTGGGTTTTGTTTGTTTTTTCCTAACAGAGTCTAAATTCTCTCCCTGTACAGATGGAAAAAAAAAAAGGCAGATGACATGTTGAACCTTTTGGTCCCTCAATGCGAAAGAAGATGTAAAATCAATGCACACAGTCAATTTTTAAAAAAATAGCACGACAGAGATCTTCGAACTCTGTACTTACAGCCCCAAATGTCTCCCGATCTCGGCAGCTGGGGGATAACTAGCCCATCTCTTTATGACACTGTTGCTTCCATCAGCTGTTGAAATATAAAACAAAATACGGGTACAAACCCCATCAGTGAGAGACCCAGCGTTCCAGAGCATCAGTCTTCAGCCAGCACTAAAGGGGAATTTTCAGACTACGAACCCGAGTGCTAAAGAGTAAGTAAATACCTTTCCACTGGCAGTGACAGAGGACAGACAGATGCTTCAGCCTTTGCTGCTGCTGCTGCCGCTGCTCTGATGCTGCTAATGCTGATGCTGATGCAGCCGTCGCTGCTCCTTTCTGTCTTGTGTAACAGCGCCCGCAGCTTACTGCCACGGACTCCTAGCCAAGCCGGCTGCTTCCAGGAGTCTGGGGGGTCCTAGTGCCCTCTCTAGCAAAGAGAACTTAGACTTCCCAGGCTGGCTGAAGAATGAATGCTGTATTAGCCACCATGGTCCCCAGGACTTGATTGATAGGCATCATTATTTATTATCGTGACATGCTCTGCTTTGGAAGGGGGGAAATGACCCGCAAACAGTCTGCAAAGTGGGGGAAAACAGAGGCTTGTTGGCTTCTTTGATATGGTCAAGTATTCAACTCGAATACAACAAATTTATTGCAGTGATAGGATCATGGATTTAGAGCTAGAAGGGACCTTAGGGTTCTCTAGTCTAATCCTCTCATTTTATAGAGAAGTAAACCAAGGAAAGAAAATATGAAGTGAATCATCCAATGTCACACAAGTGACCAGAGACACCAGAGGCAGCGTTAGGATGGAACCCAGTTTCTCTGACTCCAGAGTCAACACTTTTTGTTGTTGTTGTTGTTGTTGTTGTTGTTTTTAGACATTGGAATACAAGGAAAGTTAGAATAAATAAAGTGCTGAATTGAGACAGCCATAATAGTAACAATGGCTAACATTTACATAATGCCTACTATGTTCTAGGCACAGTGCTAAGTGCTTTACAAATGTTATCTCTTTTGATCTTTACAACAACCGTAGGAGATAGGTGCTTTTACAGATGAGTAAACTGAGGCAAATAGGCACAGTTTATAAGTGTCTCAGATGGAATTTGAGCTGGCTCCTGCTGACTCCAAGCTCCTTGATCTTATCCACTGTGCCCCCTAACAATGATCATTTCGGCTGATAATAACATCATTACAAAGTTACAAAGCCCTTTGCTTATTTATTCTCTCAAAATAGTGATCTTGTAGAAGAGGTCATATAAGTATCATTATTTCCATTTTATAGCTGAGGAAAGTAAGACTCAAAAGCTTAAATGACTTTTTAAAATTCATATTGCTTGAACTCATTTCAAGTGCAGTTTCACTTTCTGTGCAGTTCAAGTGACATTACACTGACTCCACCTCCTTCTTCCTCATCTTGCATATTAAATGTCTAATGTCTCTGTGTTCTAGGCACCTGTTGGTAAAGTGGATAGAGTGCAGGGCTTGGAGTCAGGAAGGCCTGAGCTCAGATGCAGCCTCAGACACCTACTAGCTGTGTGACCCTAGGTAAGTCACTTTGCCTCAGTTTACTCAACTATAAAATGGAGAAAATAATATCACTACATCCCAGAGTTCTTGAAAGGATCAAATGAGATAATATTTGAAAAAAGTTCTTAGTATAGTGAAAAGATCACAGTAGTTGTTATATAAATGCTTATTCTCCTGCCCCTTCCCTCTGTTGCGATAAGAAGTAAAAGAGACATAGTGAATAACTGATTGAGAAGTAAGCCTACAAGAGTCCAACAAAGAAATCAGTCAACCGCCAAGTAATTATTAAGCGTATAAAATATGCAAAGTAAGACGCAGCCTAGCAGGTAGGTAAAGAGTTGACCTAGTCTGCCTTCCACCTCTGACACATTGCTGAGTGACCCTGGGCAAGTTACTTAAATTCTCATTGCCCCCAGGCAATTCTCTAAGGCAGGGATTCTTGACCTAGGGTCCAAGAATTTTTAAAAATTGTTCAGAACTATTATGAACTCTCTGCCATCTATTATGATAATAATATATCATATGATTTCCAAGCAAGAGGTAATGAGGGCTGGTACTAGTGTAGGAGTAATGGGAATGATGAGAAGGGGCCAGAGACTTCAAAGGATTATATGACTCCTTGAATGTAAGAGGAAGGAAGGACTGGGATGTTTCAGTATTACTGGGAGGAAAGTAGAAACAGGACAATCAGGAGGAATAATAATTAACAAATAATTATTATTTGTCCTTCATTTTTGAAAGATGGGATGATGTCTTGACTTGTGAATGAAATGGATTTATGTGAAGCAGAGAATTGTGCAAAGTCATCAGCCTCACTATCTCCTCCTGAGTTGTCAAAGTCCAGTGGCAGGACAAAAGTCAAGAAGGCTGGCCATGACCCAGAATGCCGTGGATGACCTTGGCATCTTCGATGTCTGACCAAGCTCTAAGCTCTCCACAGCGCCTGCTTCAGCCCCCTTCATGGTCATTGGAATCAATTGTTCTCATGCTCCCATCCCACTGGGGGAAGTCTTCACATGCTTGGGGTAGACATCCCTTTAAACTCATTGACAGGTTTGAGGCCTCAACCTGGTTTAGCCCATCTCCTGAGAAACTGTTTGCTGGGGTGTAGCTGCCGCACATGCTACAGCTTCTTGGAGCCACTGCTGAGGGCTGGATGACAGGTAGACACCAAAGGCGCATGAGCAGCCCTGGAAAAGGCTCAACAGCCCTCCCACCAGAGGTGCTAGTCCTCCCTGAACACGCCAGATACTCCACTGACTTAAGGCTGTTCGTCCATATTTTCTAAGAAGACATCTAGTTCTTAAACTTACATGCAACATGATCCTGACAAGGTTTTAATAAGAGATTATGAAGGCTTTGCAACATTGATCAGAGCATGGTCTGGGATTCTCTACTATTTGGTTTGAATTCAGGCACTGGTACAGTGCTAAGAACACGGGCTCTCCAGTCGGAGAGCGTGAGTTCAAATCTCACTCCTAACATTTGTTACAAATGTCAGCCCGGACAAGTTACTTCCTGACCCAATGCTCCTCCCCTAAAATGAGGGACTTGGCCTCGATGGTCTCTGAGGAGCCTTCCAGCTTTAACATGATTATCATAGGACCATATTAAAAAAAAAATCATCAGAATTCTGGTGGAATTGTACGCCTAAAGTAAATACCATGACAATATTCCTGAAATCTATTTACTCTAGAGGCATAAATAAAAGAGTTTCCCAGCTGATCAATAAGTACAATCTCTTCAGTTCTGTTCAAGGATAAAATTGCATTGCTAATGGATTTTGATTTTGATTCAGAGAAAGCTGTTGACATACCTTTAGGCACTTAAGATAAAATTTTAATTGAAAAAAAAAGTTGTGAGCAAACTAGAAAAGGGACTAGAATTGCAGCATGTGTTTGAAATGTTCGATGAATGAATGAACACCATGATTCTGTCTCATAGTGATAGATATTTTTCAAGAAAAAACATAATAATAGCTAACATTTATATAACATTTACCATGTGCCAGGCACATAGTGCTTTACAATTGTTATCTCATTTGATCCTTGTAAGAACCCTGCTAGGTAGGTAATGTTATTATCCCCATTTTACAAATGAGGAAACTGAGGTTGAGTGATTTGCCCAGGATCACACCGTTAATAAATGCCTGAGGTCAGATTTGAACTGAGGTCTTTCTGACTCTAGGCCTGGCACTCTGCACTGTTCTACCAACTGCCCTGCATAAGAAATAGTGATTCCATGCAAAACAGATCAGGCTTGATGCTGAATATGTCAATCAAACCTAATCTCATTTCTCTGGGGTATCACAAACAGCCCCCTGGAAAAAGTTTTTGAGCTTTTCTGATACAACTGGGCATTGCACAGTGCAGATCACCTAAGATGGACACAGGCGTGTGGGACCTGCTTCTGGGAGAAGACATCCTGTTTTCTCTTCCACACGTGCAGGAGCGGCCTGTTTCCATTGGCTGTGTAGCCAGAACAGGCTGCGTCTCTAAAACTACCACAGGAGCTGAGATATTTCTCTGTCTCTGACTCTGTCTCTCTGTGTCCCTCGCTGTCTCTGTCTCTCTCTCTGTCTCTGTCTCTCTCACCCTCTCTGTCTTCCCCTCCTCTCCCCCAACCCTCACCCCCATCTATCTGCCCCTGCATTTTGTTCACCTATAGCAGGCCTGCACAACCTGTGACCAGTGGCAATGCCCAAGGATTTCAGGGGCCACCAAAAACGTAGAGGATGTTTTCCTCTACATTTGTTATGGGCTGCACTAAATTCTTTGGTGTTCAGCAAGCAGCCTGGAAGCGTAATCAGCCTGCAGGCCCCAGTTTGTGCAGGCCTGACCTATAGCATGAACAGCATGCCCTGGGTAGGAAAGAAGGGTTACTTTCCACTTCTCCCTTTAGGCTCTCTGGCCCTGAGAAATGCACTCCAGGTTTTGGTCTTGTTTCATTGGCCATTTTCTGCTCCAAGCACAGGCAATGGAGTGTTAGATCTGGGAACTCAAGTTATAGTGACCTTGGAGCCGGGATTCCAGTCCAGATGTTGTTGCCAGAGCAGCAAGGAAGCTGTGAGAAGCCCGAGTGTAAGGACTGGAGCCCAGGGTGGCCTTTGGCCTTGGAACTTAGTGAGACCATGTTATATAGGAACTCAGTTAATTGTGAACCTAATCCCACCCCTTCAGAGACTGAAGTGGTATGGGGTAGGGGTAAGGGAGTTATACCTTCGAGGTGTTTGGGGGAAATGTTTGAATGTTTGCTTTTGCTGTACCTTTGAAGTAAGCATTCCTTGGTAAAAAGCTATTCTATTAAGTGGTTAAAGGGAACTGGGGTGCTTGGACCCCTAAAATGAGGGAACAAAATTGGTGCAGCCTTGAGATAAGGATTACACACTCCCTGATCACCTCAAGGTTACCAGAGAACCCTAGGAAATGGGTGAAATGTAACATACCTGGCCTTCAAGCAATGGGTGCCAGAAGAGTGAATGTTACACTAATAATAGAATGTTAGGAAAGAAATAGTCTGTCTCCTAAGAGGAATTATTATACATATAATATATATTATACAGAAAATGAATTCACTAAGAAACAAAATGATGGAGAATTTGAAGAAGATATGATTTTGGGTTGCATCGACCAACCACTAATGACTACTGACTTTCTAAGTAAGGTTGGCAGTTGTGTTGACCCAATTCTGATTCACCAAAAAAAGGGAAAAACTGAGATCCCTAATTTGAGAACCTCCCTGCTTAAGATCCTGCAAGATGACAGTTGGCAAATTCTGTTTGGCAAAGGCTACAGAGGAGATCTTTGTT